AGTTCTCGGTCACGATCTGCCCCTAGGCCTTTAGCCTTGTTCTCGAGCGACTTCTTCTCATAATGGTGCAGGCTATCTCATGCTCAACGTAAATCTTCTTCTGCTCGAACTTCAGTTTCAACAATTGAGAAGAGTTGTTGCAGCAAAACCCGTGATTCCTTTGTCAATTTTTGTCGTAAGGTCGTGGATTCCTCATACGGGTAAAGACCATTGGTGAAGGCTGCGATTATTGTCTCCTCGGAAACTCCTTCCACTTGAAGTTGTTCTTTGGTGAAACGGGTATAATAACCTCCAATAGACTCTTCTCGTTCTTGCCTGAGACCCATTAGTTCAGTGGTCGTCTTGCGGATCTTCTTCCCTCAGAAGAACCTTGTGTGAAACAAAGTTCCTAGCTCATAAAACGACCGTATGCTTCTTGGAAGCAAAGTTCCAAACTAGAGCTGTGCTTGACCCATGAGATAGGTAGGGAACGCCTTGCACATGAAATCATTAGAAGCATTTCTTAATCTCATAGCACTCTTATAAATTTGTAAGAACACCATGGGACCAGTATCTCCTCCATAAAACTTCAAATCTGGAAGTTCAAACTTATCGGGCATGGGTGCTTCTCGGATGCGTTGGATGAATGGACTGTCATCTTCTTCATGATCCTCTCTTCAGGTGCGAGAAGCTTGCGTAGTTGCTCTTCGATGGTTGAAGGTACTCTAGTTGAAGATTGGTCGAGAAAGATGAGCATCTTCTCGATTCATAATGTGATGTTCTCGAGAACTGCTCCTAGGGTTTGGCTCTCGATCTTCCGAGAAAGTACCCAGGTTATTCATTAAGAGTTGTCGTTGATTGCCATCGAGTTCATAAAACCTCTTAACAAAATCTTGGAACTTGTTGAAGAAGGTAGGTTTAAATTTTAAAAAGGGCCTCCATGAGGTTTTGATCAAACAAACCACCAGACGACCTGTTATAGGATGGTTACGCCGAAGTTGCCTGCTTGTCTTTGTCAGCGGCAATAGCAGTTGTTTGCGGTTTTTCTTGAGCCATGAACGCTGGTGATATTGCGCAGCGTAAAGCACCAACAAATTTCATCTTCGCTTCAATAAATTAATTTGGTTGTGAAGACCAAACAAATTGGTCTCACTGGTCGTGCCACTTGATGAAGCTCGGATTTGTACGGTACCTTAGGACAGGCGACGATGATGATCTTGGAGGCGACGGATGGCCTAAAACCTACAAGACAGAGCCTCGAGTGTCTTCCGATGGTAGACTCTCCGATGCTTAATTTAATAAGGGAATAGAGATAATAGAGAGAGAGATGGTTGTGTGTGTGTATGAGGTGTAGAAGATAGGTAGAAGATATCAATTGAGGCACCACCTCTTTATATAGAGGTGGTGTTACTTGTTTCTTGAAATCCTAATGGAATAGGTTTAGGGGGTGACTTAGTCTTTAAGTAATCTAATCCTAAGCCCAATAGGCCTAGAGTTTAATTCTGACTCATCATATAATTTTAGTCATCACCAGGTAAAATAATGGAGATTATTATATAGCTATTTACCACTTGTAATGTTAACAAATTTTTTACTTCTTATGTCCGAAAAAAATAGTCGAAATTGAGTTTTAAGATTTGTATTAGTTTTAGTACAAACTTAAAAATTCAATATGATTTTTTTTAAAAAAAAGTAAAGCTAGTATAAAATTGATTTCATGATAAAGTTATCGCTCTATAAGTCTATGTCTATAGTCAATCTTCTTTATACGGAGTATAAGTAATCAATTTTTTTTTAGTATAAAATTGATTTCATGATAAAGTTATCGCTCTATAAGTCTATGTCTATAGTCAATCTTCTTTATACAGAGTATAAGTCTATGTCTATAGTCAATCTTCTTTATTCAGATTTTGATCGTAGGGAGTATGTTGCTAGCAAAAGAGGTGTTGGACTCATCGTTAAATTGGGCTACCGCTTGGTTTGCGTACATTTGCCGCTGGATCTTCCTGATGCCCACATGTGTCAATGATTTAAACTACATTTTAACCTTAAAATGCATAAATTATGAATATTAGAAAGTTACATAAAATGAATAGTTGTAACCATATGTTGTCACTTTCCTTGTAAAATTTCCAGTACATGTATCATTATTCTTCACTAGCCCCTTAAAAAGGTAGATATACTTTATTTTATCAATTTTGGTTGGAAATGATTCGGTCACCATTTACGTTAGGTCTTATTATTGCCCAAGCATTATAAATTTAATTTAAGAACTGGCTGTTTTCAACTAAAAAAATCTCAAAATAAATATCAAACAGTGACAAAACTTTTTTTACACCATAATTCTATATCTTTTCTGCATTCCTTCCCAAAAGTTTAACTCATAATCTTTAAGGATTCATCTAATAATGAGTTAGGATATTAATTAAATTAAAGAAAGAGTAATATTTAAATAAATACATATCAAAATATAATTTGATGATTTCGGAAGTAACGTACTACAATTATAAGATAAGAAATCTTTCACCATATTGCACTTCATTTGATAGACAACGTCATATACTCATATACCTAAATAGTAATATCACTTTCAATACATCATGAATCTAGTTGTAAATAGATTTCCTATTACTGCATTTTATACACCCCCGGGATTTATGAAATGATGACTATGACTGAATTCCCCCGTGTTGAATACATATTACTCCATGAAAATTCTTTTTTTTTTTTTCTTTTTTCCCTTCAAAAGTATTGAAAACGCATGTCTTCTAAATTTGTTGACGAACTTGACTTTTGTTCGGGAGAAGGAGCAACATAAAGTTCAAAATTAGAAGAGGGGGATGAATGAATGGCTTTGTTATACTTGTATTTCCAAGATTTAGAAATTAAGTGAGCTTCGCAGATTTTTTGTCGTACCTTAAATTAGAATATTGCTAGTAGTCGGTAGAATATCAACTATTCAACTTCAATGCCAGATTGATTGTATTTATGAAATGGATTTCTGACTTTTTTGTTCAAAGAAAAAAAAAAAATTAAAGAAGAAGACTCTCTCCCCTGAATCTATCTCCATTATCTCCGATCGACTACAGCATGCCGCCCAAGTTGCATGAATTTAAGATTTTAAGTAGTGCGTAAAAGAAAGTGTCACGTTATGTGTTACTCTTACAATTACTCCCTTCAGTCCAGACATTTTAATTTTTTCTTAAATGTTTTTACTATGGTTTTTTTCAATTAGAAATAAAATATTAAAAATAATTTATAATAATAAAAAACACAATAAATATAAAACGATTTTATAAGAATTTTACTTTCAGTTAAAATGACGATAATTAAATGAAATTTAACAAAACTCAAAATGCCTTTTGGAGTTCAAGAATTAGCATACGTTCACGTTTAAGACAAAAATCAAACTATATTTCTTTTAATGAAAAATGGAACCCTAAAGTTTAGTTTCTTAAAACATCAAACTCATTACGCCATTTGTCTGATCATCATCCAGTGACTCCTGCCCTCGAGCACTTTAAAATTTGTCAAGACGCCTAAGTTCTAAGACAAGTTCATATTGATTTTGACGTAGCTTTGATAATTCTTTTCAATAACTTAATTTGTTAAGGTCAGCGAAAGAGTTTGTTCAGTTCTTATTGCCAGACATAGCGAAAAGTAAAACAATGTTGCAGGGGAGAAATCCTTCTTTCTATAGAGAGATTTTAAATTCTATTTGTATTAAAAAAAACGGATATTAATTATAAACGAGAACCCCAAACAAACTATCTTAAATTGCGAAAAATGAATATTATCATATATATGTGACTCTAGAGTTCAGTCCAGATCAAAATTCTCTGAAAAAACTTGATTGCAATATTTTTTTTTTCCCCTGTCAGCTGCTTTGTAATTTTGATCATATAAGATGATCTAATATAGAAATCCATCCTCAGTCATTATTTTACTCATCCTTTTATTTCATCAAAATTGACAAATAGTACACCTCAAATCGCACGTCTAAAGGACTTTGAAATTTCAGAAAGCACCGATATGCGTTTGCACATAATTGGGTATATTAAATTATACCCCACTTGTGAAACTACTTTTCTCTATAAATACTAGTGGCTTAGTACACCGCAATAATGTAGTACAACGTCCATTTCAATTTATTTGTATTATTAGACTAAGCGGACATTGTTTTTTATCCATTCTTTGACTGTCCAAGGCTATAATTTATTTATTTATTTTCATTTTATGCCGCCCTCTAATTATATCTTTTAATAAATCGGTATTCTTTCATTCTTAATTGAATAGACTTATTTGAACCTACATAAAAAAATCAAGAAAAAGTAAGCGCTAAAGCTAATTTATGTGATTAATTTAAAATCAGAATTTTAACATATTTCTAGTAATCGTGATTAATGAGTTAATAGTGAATGAGTGAATGATATGTATATTAGAGAATTTAAAAATAAGATTTAATTAAATGCATGAAGTAGGATTAAGTTTTGAAATGTCTTCAAAGCGGGAATATGTTATTAGATTGAAATAGAAAGAGTATCGTCTCTCTATGTTTGCTTCCCCAAACGCTTAATTAAGTGTAGTAATAATTTGAAACGAAGGTTCGTAGCATTAAAGTGCTGAACTCTAAAGCCTAAAAAACCATATTAGCTAGGGTTGTTAAAAAAGATTAATGAGCAACACCCACCCCCCCCCCCTCCCCAACCCAAAAAAAAAAAAAAAACAAAAAAACAATAAAAAACAAAAAAGAATACGTGGTTAATCCTTGGCCCGCCAACTCTGTGTTGGTAGCAATTTGACTATCTAGGGACCAGGCTTATGCAAATGTGAAGGAGACCTTTTTGTTTTTCTTTTCATTGTGCATCTTGAATAAATAACGTAAAACCCGACAAGTGTTACATAAAAAAACGCTTCTTTTACATTTCCAATAACATTAATTAATTTGACTACAGCAAAAATGATCCCAGTCCTGCCTAATTTTTGGGTCAACAAAATCAGTCTTATCTCCATGGTCTTATATTTTAATAATTCCCATCTATAAAAATAGCACTTCTCTGCCTAAAGTTCTTTCAAATCAACCCATTTCAACTTTTGCTCTGAAAAAAAAAACTAATTCACAGCAAAAAGAAAAAAATTCCAAAAAAAGTGATGAAAATGAAAATGGTGGCGATGCTTTTGGTTGTGCTGCTGGCCATGGCGCCATTGGGCCATGGAATCATAGACCAAAGCCCTGAAGGAGTAGAAAGATGGTTCAGAAGGCTTCCACATGCAAAAGAGAAGCTCACTAAGCTCCACTTCTTCTTCCAGGACGTGGTATCCGGGAAGACTCCGACCGCCATCGAAGTCGCCCGGTCCAGCCTCACTTCTTCGTCCAAAACATTTTTCGGCTTAACTAGGGTTTTCGACGATCCGTTGACCGTTACGGGGTCACCGGATTCACACAGGATTGGTTACGGTCAAGGGATCTATTCGTTGACCTCGCAGGAAGACGTGGCTTTGCTTTTCACCTTCAACTTCGTGTTCACCGACGGCAAGTACAACGGCAGCACTCTCAGCATTCAGGGATACAATCCCTTGGAAGCAAAGTACAGGGAGATGGCGGTCGTTGGTGGTTCTGGGGTTTTCCGGCTGGCCAGGGGAAGCGCGGTGGCGTCTACTTATTGGGCTAACGCCACCACTCAAGACGGTATCGTAGAGTTTACAGTCTATGTTCTCCACTACGACGTGGGTGGTAACGACGGTGATGAACAGTATGTTCAGGACATGTAGATCAAGTTCGTTTGTTTTGTGGTGGTGTGTTCTCATGAGTGTGTGTATTATCTTTCCCAACACCAACCCACCCTCACCCCCTTTGACTTGTAAAAATAAGTTGCTACTATTTGGTAGCATTTCGTGAATCAATCGTAATGCTGGCTGTTAAATATGATTTTTCTACTCAATTTAATCATGATTAGTTTTCCTTAGTTTTTAATATTCAAAGTAAGGAATTTGCCCTTGCTTTCAAAATTTTGAATGAGTCAAAAACCAGCAAAAGAACACCACTCCCTATGTTTAAAAATAAAGGGTAAAAAATACTCTATATGGAACTATAAAATTTGTAATTTATGTACACTATTTCTTTTAACAGAGTAAGTCCCATTTAGATTCTAATTATATATCTCATCATCTAATTTATCATATCATTAAATCTCATTTTATAGGCTATTTATTAGGCTCTTAAAAAAAAGGCTAGTAAGTCCCATTTAGATTCTAATTATATATCTCATCATCTAATTTATCATATCATTAAATCTCATTTTATAGGCTATTTATTAGGCTCTTAAAAAAAAGGCTATTTATTAGGCTATAGATTTCCAGCGTCATTCTGATCATCACTTTCTACGCTATATATAAATAAATTATAACGGTTTGTTCTATAGATAATCTCAAATTATTTGTATTATAAGTTAACTTTTAACGGTTTATTTTAAAATTTTGGATATAAAAAAATACTTGAAATGTCTACAAGTATAACAAAAAAGTAAGTAAATTAACTTAGCCAATATTGAAATGTCAGGCAAGGTGAAAAGTAATGGGCATGAGATATGTTACTTATTCAACAAAGATATACAGGAACAAACTTGTCAAAATATCCATAGGAAAACAGAAAAAATACAATAACAAAATTCAATTTTTGTAATCATATTATTTTCTTTTTATTTCCGTTTGTCCGAAAACTTTCTTATTTTCTTTTATAGTGGGCTTCCAGTTTTTATTCATTGAAGTCTATTTTAGGCCCATATTAGATGGAGCTGGAGCGGCCAACTTCAAACCAACAATCTTTCATGAACTAGAGGCTAATTTCCCTTTTAGCTATAATTAGGGAACTTAATTGTAATTATGAATTTGTTTATTTCTCTAATCTCTCTCTCTCTCTCTCTCTCTCTCTCTCTCTCTCCCCCATGTTCTTCGATTCCTAGAAGCCTAACCCAATTTCTTGGCTCTGTTATTCGATTTCTTCCTCCGATTTTCCCAAATTCATGTCGCCCAAATCCAACTCGTGACACAACCCCAAGTGCAATATATCCCAAATCAGCAAAATTCGAAAAATCATTTCCCAACATGCACATGCATATGTAAATGAACGAAAAAAAAAAAAAACATAGTACATATAAATATGTCCGGCCAGCAAATTAAAATCAATAAAAATTGATGAAATTGTAAAGATAAAAAGAGAAGACTAGTGGGGGCGACTCTAGAAATGCTCCAAATTATTTGGAAGAAAGGCTTGGAGCAGTAATAAAGCTCTAGCCCCGAAATCGATCTATGAGTTCGTTTTCAACAACAATGACGCTTTCACAAATGCCAGACATATCATTGGACTAAGGTTGGGCTGGGAGCCCTTGAAACATCTTCCATAGTTAATCACCCCAATCCATAAATTATCTCTGTATAACTCAATTTTTTTTTTGAATATTATAACACGGTTTCAAGGAGACAGAGACGATAGTAAATTCTAAAATAGAATCCTGATTAACCTTTTATATATATATATATATATATATATATATACACACACGAGGGAAGCCTGAGGCTTAGATTACAAAATATCCCTATGGTCGTGGGATGATCCTAATTTATCTACTAATAGATAATCCTTAACTCCAGACGGTGGTGTAGACAAAATATGCAGTCCCTCTGGGCAAGAGAGGCAAAACTTGGCCAAGGCATCGGCGACTTCATTTCGGTTTCGTCGCGTATGCATAATTACAATCTGCCAGTTGAGATTAAGAAACTTTCTAAGTCTATGAAAAATATGTCTGTTTACGGACGAGAAGCCTTCATTCGTCAAAAAATCAACCGCATTTGAGGAGTCTAATTCCAAGCTAATGGTCCTAAAACCTAGGTCCCAAGCAATTCTGAGGGCGTGGAAAGCTCCCCAGAATTCGGCTTCCAACACACTGCAACAGCCCAGGTTTGCTGCAAATCCCATAATCCTATTTCCCTTGTAGTCTATGAACACTCCTCCAGCAGCCGCTTTCCCAGAAGTTGTTGTTCTTGCACCATCACTGTTAATTTTGATGGCGCCACATGGGGGAGGGCTCCAGCTTCCCGAAGCAGTTGTAGGGTGGTGGTTGACACTCCTATGGGCAAAAATCAAGTTGGAGCGACATATTTCTTTTACCAGAGCAATGATTGAAAATTTCAGGGTTCTTTCTGTAATGATGGTGTCATTAAAAACTTCCTCATTCCTGGTTTTCTATAGTTTCCAGCAGCCTACAGCAAACTAGTGTGGCCATTTGCAATTATCCTGCAAAACAGAAGAGCTTAAGTTAGCCATAATCCATGCATTCCAGTCAGTTTCGTACCAGAAATTTGGTTCCAGTGTTGTGCAGATGCCATGCCAAAGCTCCATGCTCCTGTAGCAGTTCCGAAAGATGTGGAATAAATCTTCTCTTCCTCCACATAGATGGCAACTATCATTGTCTGTGAGGTGTCTTCTTTTCCTTTCATGATTTGTCATCAGGACACCTCGTAGAAGCAACCAAAGGAATATCTTGATCTTCTCTGGTCCTTTCCACTTCTAAAGATTTTCCCAGCAGTTGTCTTTTAAGGTCCCATGCTTCCTCCATCAACTGATTATATGCCGAGGTTGTACTGAATTTGCCGGATTGTGTTAGCTTCCAAACCAGCTTGTCCCCCCCTAAGTTGCTTTGAGGGGGAGGTATGGCTCTAGTTTTGTCAAAAATGTTTTGTGGCAAGAAAGAATTAATGACGCTCCAAATCCAGCTGCCATTTTCGTCAACAAAATCTACAATTTTCTTTTGTAAAGTTTTAGTAGGGATTGTTTGTGTCGCAAAAGAATTGAGGGGAAGGTTTGTGTTGTCCACCCACACATCTTGCCAGAACTTGATCCTCCGACCATTTCCAATAATCCATCTAATCCCCTTAGCAGCTTCTGGCCATACTTTAGTAATCTGCTTCCACAAAAGAGAAGCATTCTTCGTTGAAAGCTCTTCGGGTAGTGGCCCTGGTGAGACATTGTATTTGGCTCTCAGGATTATTGACCAGAGACTTTGCTCCCCCATTATCAGTCCCCAAGCGAGTTTGACAATGAAGGCAATGTTGAATTCTTGCATTTTCCTTAGGCCTAGGCCTCCCCTTGCTTTTGGTTGACATATAGTGTCCCATTTGATAAGACTTATTTTTCGCTTTCCCGGCTTGCTTCCCCACAAGAGATCTCACCTTACTTTATCAAATTCATCACTGATGGCTTTTGGTAACAACGATGTCTGCATTAGGTAAATAGGAATAGCTGACAACACTGACTGGCAAAGTGTGAGTCGCCCGGCCATAGAAATTCGATGGGGGTTTCACTTCGCTACCCGGTGTTTAGCTTTGTTCACCCATTCTATGTACATCTCGTTTTTCACTCGGCCATGTATTATTGGAGTCCCCAGATATTTCCCTAAGTTGTTCACCCGACGAATTCCAATCATTTGCCCTAGCAGATCATCTACCTTGTCAATATTGGGTGAGCAATATAATACCGTTTTTTCCTTGCTTACAATTTGGCCTGATGCTTGACAAAACCTGTCCAACGTGTCCCTGATTACTTGTACTTGATCCATGCTTGCTTCGGCAAACAAAAGTAAGTCATCGGCAAAGAGCAAATGTGACAATGGGACACCTTCGACTCCAAATCTGAGTGGTTTCCATGTTCCGGCAGTGACTGCTAAATTGATAGCCTGAGAAAGTCTCTCCATACATAAAACAAAAATGTACGGAGATACCGGTCTCCCTGATGGACCCCTTTATTCGGTTTAAATTTCGTTCCCACGATTCCGTCCCAGAAAATTTGCGTCGATCCAGTCCAGAAAGAGCTCATGATTATTTTCTGAAGTTGGTGTGGTATTCCTGCGTCTTCCAGAGTATCTTGGATGAAGTCCCATCTAATCCAGTCGAATGCCTTGACTAAATCAATCTTCATTGCCATCCAGCCCCTCTTCCGTTTTGTAATTCGCATCGAGTGGATGGCTTCTTGTGCAATTACGATGTTGTCGACTATACTCCTCCCCTGTACAAAGCTGGATTTCGTTGAGCTCACAAGCTTTGGCATCACTTTCCTTAGTCAGTTGGCAACAACCTTGGAAATTAGCTTGGCTGACATGTTAATTAAGCTTATGGGCCTAAGGTTCTGAAACCTCTCCAGATTCTTGATCTTTGGGATAAGTACCACCAGGGCCTTGTTTATTTTTTCAGGAATTTCACCAGATTCAAATGCTTTACGCACCATCATACAGACAGAGGGCCGATAATCTCCCAGTTGTGTTGATAAAAACTAGCATTAAAGCCGTCCATTCTGCCTGTTTTATGCTTGTCCATCTCGAAAACTACTGACTTTACTTCCTGATCCTTTAATTCTGCTGTCAACATTTGTTTGTGGTTTCTGGATAAAGCAGGGAATTTACCAGTCACCCAATATTGGTAGCTTCCCACTATTGCTCCAGTGTACACTTGTTGGAAGAAACTAGTTGCTTCTTTGCTCACTGTTTCAACATCAGTACACAACGTCCCATTGTCTAATTGTATTGCTTTAATTCTTTTTTTTTCTGCCTTGTTTCCTTGTGGGTTGCATGGAAACGTTTTGTGTTGCAGTCTCCTTGAATTAACCATCCAGCCCTCGCGTTTTGAATTCTCAGCAACTCTTCCTGAGTAATGATTGTTTCGTATTCCTCCCTTAGTGACTGCTCTAACATACGAAGAGCATTAGATTGATGGAAGGGTAGTCTTTGTTGTATACCCCCAATTCTAGCTAAAAGTCTGCTCTTCTTCTTGTTAAGATCGCCAAAAAAGTTGAATTTCCACTCATTTATGCGAAAAGTGAGCTGTTCTAAGGCCTGAGGGAAGTCTAAGTTCACGTCCCAGTTGGTTTGAAGCCATTGTTTCCAGTCATCATGTGCCTCCCAGGCAGTCAAATACCTGAAGAATTTTCTTCCCGAGGGGCGGCTTCCCTTAGTTTGGAACTTTACTAGCAACGGTGAGTGATTTGAGACCGTTCTAGGCAAGTGATGTACCAGAGTATTGTCGAAAAGGTCCCCCCATTT